AGCGACCGCCGACGGAATCCCGTCCACGTTCCGCCACGCCCAATAAAAACCTCCTCTCTCCCTCACTACCTCGCAACCCCGGTTTTCTACCGCTGCCCATCCCTCGTCCCTTCGAAACCATCTCGTCGAGCGGCCTAATAAATCCGACAGACGGGATTGGCGTGCGCTATCAATTAAAAATGATGAAACCGAACAGAGCGGCGCGGCGCGCGGCTCGCCGCGGCCGGGCGAGCGGATAGAGCGGAGAGAGTCCGCTTGCATCGCGAGTAAAGCTGATTCCGCAACCGCCTTGTCCGCTCTGGCGTAATAAGCTTAAGCGATTAGGTATACCTTGGGGGCGGCCCGAGACGGTTGCGGTGCTACGGTTAGCGAGAGACGCGGGGGTGCAGTGGTAAAAATAAACGAGGGAACAAGACGCGCGCGGACCTGTTTGAAAAACTGGGAAAAAGCTCGCGGAAGGAAAGAGAGGGACGACGACGGAGTGAGAAGACGGAGCCAGCACGCCGGCAGCTCACGGCGGGTTTTAAACGCAATTTAAATTTTTAATTGCGAGTCCGTCGACCCCGAGGAACGACGCCTTCCTCATCCTCACGCGGCACTCTGACGTTTTGTTCCAAAGCGCGGATCCGTGTGTTTGCTTAAAAATTCTTTTTTTCGAATTTCCTTGATACTGACTGGACGAACATTCCTATTCATCGTGCAGCAGAAGAAATGTTTTAAAGTGTCTTCAAGTTTCGTATAAATAACAGCATGCTTAAAGATGTATATTATACGTATCTTTTATGAAAAAATTATGAAAAAATTACAGATTTTTTAATATTGTATTTGAAAGATTTAATTTAGAACCTGGATAAAAAAATTATTTCAATAAGAAGTAGACAGTAGTAGTTTTTCAGTAATTAAGATAAAATGAGAAAATTTTTATGTACACTATAAAATTATATTGTTAAATGAAAATATTGATCTCTTATTGATGTATAATTGCACTGTTCTGCCGCGAATCTATGCTGCAAACTTTTAATTGTACAAAGCGGTCTTAAAATTAAACGTGATGTACAAAAACTAGGTGTGCCCAGGTCGTATTAAAACTACTTTGAACAATTATTAAATAAAATAACAAACACGCGCAGATGTAGTAACAAGATTATCAAATTAAAATGATGAATAAATTTTAATATTTTTTTTTTTTATTTTGTTGCGAATAATTATAAATTTTATATCGAAGTCTGTCGTTATATTATCAGCAAGATGAAAAAATTACGAGTATATTATATTTCTGATTTCTTGAGTACAGTATTATTGAGACAGTATATTGTATTTTTGGCGCGCATTGCTGTTTATTAAAAAAAAATATCTTATTACTTTTTCAAACGTATCTTATTGATGGAATAATAATTTTTAAAATCGCGTGTGTATGTGTGTGTGTAAAAAAAATTCATCCTTTAGCTTTTTTCTGTTGATATTTTGTACGTAATTATCTAAATCATATCAATGTAATTATGATGATGTGATAAGGTTATGTCAATGTGAGCTGACACTAGTTGTTCGTGTGTAATAAATCGTATATTATAAATTGGATACAGACGTTTCAATCCTGGTATTGGGTCCTCTTCAGTGTGGAAATTGTGATTGATAGGAATATAAAATAAATTTGTGTAATCGCTGAATCTTCAAATCATCATTAAATCTATTGTCTTTACTTAAAATCTTTAATGTCGTCTGTTATATTTTACTGAATATACAAACTGCATATGTTAGAATGTCACTAAAACGATATATTAATTTAATGTAGTCAATTTAAATTTCTAAAGTCGATTTCACTAAAAACTTACGTAGGCGTTTAACGATGGTCTGTTACATTGCGATGTAAGTATATAGAGAAATCGTTATTATGTGAGAGTTTAGATCAGACTAATCATGACAATATGTTATTAATGCTCTCCATAACAATATAAATATAAGCTTCAATATATACAATGAAGGAATACATATATATAAACACATAAACACATTTTTCAATAAATTCATAAAATTAGTATTGAAAACACAGAAGCATCAATCTTCCGCGATTAAATCGTGATATACGGGGTTCAATAAATTCGACTACTTTTGTAAATTTAACCCATTTATATAACCAATCTTCAAAATATAATTACTTGTATAATTTTTCTGTATTCAGCTTCTGCTACTAATTGTTTACCTATCATCTGTTCTACGTAGAAAAATACCAGGAAAATAAATTATGGGGCAACTTTATTACCGGGGCGACGTGCTTATCTCGCAATATAATTTTTGCTTGTTAATTGCAACAATGAAAGCTTTCTAAAGGAGTTCAATCTTGCCTACTTTCCAGTTGCCGTTTTATCCTTCTTAAGGTCCATCTATAATCCACTTAAGGCGCAAAGATAATGCCTATAACGTTTCTCGCATTGCGTGTTTAATGGTAACTCTAACGAGCCGAATACCCGCGACACTACGAATTAGCGTGGTTGCCTCGATAAAGCCCTAATTGCAATCGACGCGTAATCTTAACCATCGTCGACAGGCGAGAGCCCTTCGCGGCAATGGAAACTTAAGGCGGGTGCCTCGGTAAAAATCAATTCCGCGTTCGAGGAGGTAGAAAGAAAAGGCAGGTGCTCGTAAGACTGCCGGCCGGGTTATTATCCCATGTTGCTGAGAGCCCCGCCCAATAGCGTAACAAAGTGGCGATGCTGACGAGACCTGTGCCGAAATCTCATGCCGACCTTTTTTCTGGCTCTTTTAGGCCCCTTATCTCTTCGAAAAAAAGTTCAGAAATTTATAAAGGGTAAAACTATTGTTTTTGTTCTCTCATTGCGATATATATATATGTATACTACTATGTAAATCGATTACTTTCATATGTATACTTCCTTTTATACTTTTTCATATTCTTTAATTATTTTTACTTTGCATACACAGATCCTGCAAAGGCTTTTACCTGAGAATAGTCATTTGAATTTTTATGTGAGATTAGAATACACTGTTAAGTGTCAAAGGAGCAATGGTAACCCAATCCCTTAAGTTAAATAACATTTTGTTATTTTAATTCCCACATGTATCAAAATGTAAATCAATCCATTTCTATGGTTAAATTTCTTAGTTTCAAAGTAAATGAATGGCTGCGTTCAGCAGAAAAAACTAATCCATTAGCGCTTAGTGATTCTTTAATATGATTAGCTTCTACACTTACAATTAGATCCAGCGAAGACTAAAGGTAAGAACCAATCCTATTAAAGAATCACTAAGCGCTAACTGATTAGTTTTTCCTGCTAAACACAGCCAATAACTTTAACGTATGCACTTAGTAAGTACATAATAAATAAATTTAAGTCAAATTTAACATTTCTTAAAATCTAACTAAATTTAACCAAGTTTAATTAAATTGTTTTAAATAAATTAACGATATATTGAGTAATGGCGATATAAAGAAATGATTAAAAATAATTCAAATTGGATATAATTCGATATTATAAATTTAACAATGTAGAATAAGAGAAAAAATAACGTAAATAAAGAACTCGAGGATTATATCAGTCGAAATTCGGACGATGGTCCTGTTGAACCATCGGAACCACGGTAGCTGCGCTACTGGACCCGGTGACGTGCCGCTCGGCAAGCGTGCCCCTGGGAGCTTAATCGATGCGTCGTCGCACGCGACTGCGTGCTTTTATCGCTGTCACGCACATAATTAATTTAATTTAGTTTAATACGTCGGCCCAGCGCGCCAGGCAGCGATTGTCGTTCCGATTGTTTGCACGGAAACGCCAACGTTAACCCCCGGCCGTTTCACCGAACACGATATTCGTATCCGTCAAATTTCGGTCGAGGAAGAATAAATCCTACTCTATCGTGCTCCGCAGGTCGCAAATTTATACCGCCTCTGTAACTAAGTACACGAAAAATGTTCGTAGCAACGTACTTTACACAAGATTATTTATATACCTAATTGTAATAAATTTTATGATATCTTGATAGTTTTGTCTTACATGAAAACGTATATTTTACGTTGTAACGTTTTATTATATGCTATGATAGTCTTTGAAGTCCACCTTCATTTTGCAGAATTATCAAAAAGTATTTTAATATTAACTATAAAGAAGAGGTAATATGCAGGGTGTTCCAGAAATGTACATTTTATGCTATAACGTTTTATTATGTTATGATAGTCTTTGAAGTCCACCTTCATTTTGCAGAATTGTTAAAGTATATTTTAATATCTATTAACTTTAAAGAAGAGATAATATGCAGGATGTAACGGAATCGTTGAACACCCGGCAAGAAGATGATTTTTTATGTATCTACTTCATCAGGGCGAGGAGCAGCCTGATACCAAGAATGGATCTGAACACGGAGAAAACCCGCGAAACGCAAGATTGTCACATAGGTAACACCCGTGAAAGCCTCAAGAATATTATTAAAATAAATACATTATTAAAATTTATTGCATTATTTTAAATTAATGTCAAATTCAGATAGAAATAGCGATGAATAGTCAGATTGGGTGTACCAAGTAGATTAATTGTAGCTAGTGAAATGTACACATACTTAACAAATATTTAAACTCGATTTTGTCGAAAACGGAGCTCTATATGAAAAAATTGCATTCGATATTTTCGACCTACTTTTACATGAGGAATCACTTTTTTTCCGAAACCACACTTTCCGGACATCTTGTACATAGAAAATAGTCATTTTCTATATAATGTATCTTTTAATATATTTTAATATTAAAAGGAAAGATTTGTGCATATATGAAAGCAATTTATAAATTTATTAAACGTCAAGGAGATATAAAAAGATTTTTCATGTTCCTTTTTGTATTCCATAAAAAGAAAAGATATTTTTCAATCGACCATCGTCACTTTGAACTTCGAAAGAAAGCTTTTTCCCTCTCGAACTCACGTATTCTAAAAGTAGTGTGAAGAAAATGTTACTTCCCCCCTTCGTCGATCTACGAATTCGTTCGGAGAATGACTCACCTGAACACGAACTTCCGGGAGGTTCACTTTCATGGCGAGCTCCTCCCTGGAGTAGACGTCCGGGTAGTGAGACTTCTCGAACGCTCTCTCGAGCTCGTGCAATTGGTAGGTCGTGAAGGTAGTCCGGTTGCGACGGTGTTTCTTCTTGCCCCCGTTACCGTTTATGTCCTCCCCGCAGCCCGCGCCGAGTTCCTCGTCGCTACCGCCGCCGGTGGAGTTGCAGCTGTTCTCACCTGGAAGCCGCAACAGAGAGAGCGGTCAGGGTCTCCTCGGAAACGGTCGTTACGGGTAATAGGAGCGGTAATGGTGATCGATTTATCCGGAGTCGCAGCTATTACCCCCATTATGCGCGCATAATAGTAGCTATTAGAAGTGCTGCAACGCGCGTGGCCGCGTAGAATTGCGTGTGCGTGCGTGCGTTACGCGTGTGTGGGTGAATCGGTCGCGGCGCGGGCGCTTTAAAACGCCATTCGCGGCTTGGATTTCTTCTCCTCTTATTTTTTTTCTTTCTTTTACGTTTCGTGATCGAGCAAGCGAGAAGTACGACGCGTTACGCTTCGTTGAATGTAAAAGAGACAACGAGGATTAATTAGAGTATTTGACGTTTAATATATGCGATGCTTATGGGGAACAGAAGGACACCGGTTATGGACGAATGGATTACTTTTCTCGGCGAGCGCGTGAGAGCGTAATAGCGTATACGTGTATAAAGTATCGGTTGTCATATTTCCTTTATATATATGAAAATACAATATAATCTCGCAGTGAACTTGCAAAAATAAAATGTGAATCAGCACGCTGAACCATTATGAATGTTAATGAACGTTTTTCCCATATGATTTTGCCAGATAACGAAGCGAACGAACTAAATTGCTATTTTTTCTTTCGTCAATAATTTGAAATAAATAGCTGGAGACACTTCTTCCTTTACGATATTATTGCGAAAGTGAAAGATTGGATATTGGTTATCGAGAATAAAGCTGTGCCAGGAAATAATCATTTACATCTCCCTCTCTCAATATTTGTAAAATACAGTAAAATATTTTATAATCGGAAGTAGTAGTGGAAAAATGTTTTTTTTTCTTTTTAATGATTTTTGCAATTAAATCAAACTCCTCAATATTTTTGAAACAAGATACGTTGTAAAATGTAAGCTGTGTCTCTAATAAAAAAGTTATATATACATATATATGGTATATATAATATTTCAAAAATAATATAAGAGAAAATGGTATGTGTTTGTGGAATTGTAACTACATACGATTAATATAAAGTAACTTATTATAAAGTGATTTATTAAAACTCTATATTTCTGGATAGAAATGAAAATCTGCAGAATAAGTCTAGTATATACTTTTGCCATTAAGATATAAAGCCAATGGAGTATCTAATTGTAAGTAAGTCAAGTTGGAAACATTCTCATTTCTAGGTGCTCGAAGGAAGGATGCTCTGAAGGAATCATCTAATCGTTTAGAGATATACAAGAACATCGCCGTAAATGCGCGTCAGCACGCACTCGTTTCATACTTGGGTGACACGTTGTATTTGTGTAACAGGACCCTATCGTTTCGTCACCGCTTATCCGACGCTTTATTAAGGTGACGGCCACATCGCCGCGCCGTTATCGTCGTTAACGAAAGGGTCAGCGCAACGAAAGCGACGGGGATTTATTTACGTTGCCGTACAATCACGCGATCATTTTCACTGCAAATAACGATGGCACATTCCGCCGTATTTGTGTATTTAGAAACGTGACCACGAGTATTCGTGCCCAGTATTCCGGTCGAGGTCTAATCGATTTAAGCGCAGAATTAATTGTCCGACCGACTACGATATGCCGTGCCGGGCGCGCACTGTGCTTAATTGTTTCACTGTCAAAGCGCAGGTGCATTGTAATGAGATTTGCATTGGCGATGACAGCGCTGGCAATGACATCGTGTTTGCTGCTTCTTGGGAAGCGTTTTTTTTATACGATCACGTATCTCTGCTTGATTTATTCAATGCAGGAAATGTAGGCGCGTGTGATTGTTTGTGATTTAAACGATCGTAGAAATTTCACGTAGAAAATTCTGAGGCAAACTACGAATTTTGCTAGTAGATTTTGAGCTAGTTTAGCAGCGAAAACACATATCGAAGACATTGATTTACAACTATAAAATCTATATCTACTTTTAACAGAAGTTTGATTCTGTGTAATTTCTTCGAGCAATTATTTGGTATTTCTGCTTTAAATTTAATTTTCATTTTAGTTTTATCTCACAAGAATTTTCCTTAAAAAAATATCACGAGAGAAAAAAATGTACGCTCGCGTGCATTGCACAATTTCGTTAGTCCGTTGCTCTTCGAGGAAAAATACTACTACTGTATCTTACCGTGCACTTTTACCTACTTTCGTATAAATTACAATTTTCTTCGTAAATTACACGATCGTCGCCAGACCGTGCAATTTCGCGGATTAAATCATTAAGTGAGTAATCACTAGGTAATTTTCGAGCACTTTGAGTCGCTATGAAAGAACTTAAAGCGCGTCAACACGCGGCACTTCCACCGAGCTATTACGCTATCTCTTTCCTTGCAAATTACACCTTTCGTTGAGGTTGATGATTGCTCGCGTCTGAACGCCCAATCAGAATTCGTTTCATTATTTTCATTTTCAAGGTAATACCGTTTGAAAAGCGGAATTTCTTTACAATTTCCTTGTATATTAGAGATTGCTATAATTAATAATACAAGAAATATTATTAATCATGTAAGAAATAATTATTAAAATTTAAATTAAAAAGTGTGATAAGACTCGTATGAATAAACATTTGAAACTAATGAGAAAAAGGTTTGCGAGCCGAGCTAAGTGTGTTTGTGCTGACGTGTAATTACCTTAAAATTAATAGAGAAGAAGATGGTATTATGACCAGTGTACATATTGTGGCCTCCCTTAATATCTCCGCTATATAGCGAATCCTAATGATTATTTATGGAATTATTAGTTCAGTAGCTCGCCGTTACACCATAACGCTAATATTACCAATACTTAATACCCAGCACTTATTATAATGCATTTTTACTTTCGAGTATTTCGAAACGTTTCTGAGGTACACTTTAGCATTTAATTACCTACTTTTTAGCACCTACTTCCTCATTTTCCTTAAACTTGAGTATATTATTACATGAATATATGTATTTTTGAGTGTGTTATTTGCTATTTAACATTTTATTTGACTGTATATATTTTGAGTTATGCGAATTTAAACAATACCATGGCATTTTGCTAATGTGGCCTTCTATGGATATTGATTACTCACGACCTCTTTTTTGAGGTTTTCAAATCAAAATAATTATTTGATAATCGATTGTAGCTCTACTGTTAATCTACGTTTATATTACGTACTATTTTTAGTACTGAGATTTTTAGTACTGAGCAGTTTATATGCAGAAGTTATGTGAATGTATATACGTTCATTTGCATACATTTTAAAATATTTTACTTTTTTGTTAATTTTGTAACCAAATACTGCTTTCTAAAACTAATATTTTAAGACTATTTTTATGGAAGGCCACATTACCACCCATTTTTTTCGTCGAGTTATTATGCAATGTCGCCACATTTTTATTAATAGTATCCCAAGTAACAAATATTTCGTAACTTTGAGTCCAGAATTGATTCAACAATATTTTAACGAATGTAATCGTCAAGTTTTAAACTTAAATATTGATTATTAACAAAGTTATTGTGTAAAATGTAACTGGGGTGCCATAATACCATCTTCTCCTCTATCAATGTCATATAATACAGAAATGACAAACATTTTAATCTTTTAATAGACGGTCATCCTTAGTGTTACAATGTTAAACAATAATTAAAGTTACATTATAAAGCCGTTAAATTAAGCAGGAATTTAAAACGGTGAATTTAAAACGCACGCGGAAATGCTATTAATTAAATGTTATAAGCGATTATTAATCATACGTACAAGAAATCTTTATCAATCATTAAAAATTTATTATTTTTATTTGCTAAAATTGATGCAAATGTTATGCATATCGTTAAATATTAAAGGATTAAATTTAAATCAATTCCTTGAATTAAATTTTGCTATTTTTAACTTCCATGTATGGCCAAATTTATTATTTGAACACATTTTAATACAAAAAATATGGTTAAAAGACAATCACATTTAATCAATCCATTTCATTGATTGAATTGCTTCAAGTTTCAAAGTAAGCAGCGTTCATATTAACGTATAGGTTTTTATTAGTAAATAATAAATTAAATTTGAGTCACCTATTTAATACAATTCTTAAATCAAATTGTTTAACTCCATTATTTTCATTAAATTAGTGACATTTTTATTGAACAGGAGTAGTGGCGACCTTTAGAAGTAATTAAAAGTAACTTAAATTACAATTTGACATTATGAATTTAATAGAGTATCAAAGATTTGATAGTAAGATACACGAATGTTGTAACAAACTTTATGAAGACTTTATGGATAAAAATTGCGCGGTGAGCAATTAAATGACGAATAAAAATAAATTTTAATCTTTTGTTTCGCAGTCCAGGTTTGGGTAAGATTAATACGATTGCACGTTATTACACAATGCGGAACGCGTTGCGCTCACTGGGCGAACTATTACGCGATCATTTTCCCTGCAAATTACATCCATCCCGGGTGCTGCGGTTACTCGTCGACGAACGCCCGATCAAACCTCGCATTATTCCCGTCCCCGAGTGTAATATCGTCCAAGAAACCGAACGGCACCACCGACGAAGAGATTGATCCTGCGGGATCGCGGCAGCAAATAGGTATTTTCCACCGTGCACGCTTTCCCTCCACCCCTTCCTTTCGCCCTCTACACGTCCTCTCCGCTCTCCCGTCGTAAATCCTAACTTCATCCTGATCCGTTCGTCGACGTAGCGATCAAGGCAAGTTTCTCTTTTGGGCAGTACCCCTCTCCCATATATATACATACATATACCTATATACATACATGTGGATATACATACATCCTGGTACTTCTCATTAACTGCATAATTAACCTTCTCTCGCGTCGCAGCGCAGCGCGTTAAATCGAATTGCAGGGGGAGTAATCGGGGGTGCAGGCTCGATGGTGATGTTCCGCGCGCACTCGCGCGACCATGCGCAACCACGTGCACGCATCTAACATGCGCGTCTCTATTGTACTCGCGGTGCCCACACATCTTCGCGAGAAGCTGCGCCTGATACTAACCAACAAT